CATAAAATGTGAAGTAAAAAAGGGAGGGGGCAATATACACAAAATCCAGACTTATAAAAGAAGTATCTTAAAAGTTACTTAACAAATACAAACCGGTAAACTCCCAACATACATACTGGGGGACTCACGAATGAAAAGAAAATCATATAATTTCCATACCTACCTTGAAAATGATATCAGACAGGGAAGTACTGCCGCCCGGGAAGACATAGGAAGCATAATGTGTTGTCTAATGGTAGACTCTGCTGCCATATGGCATCACGAAAATTGTGACCAAGTCCTAGGTTGCTGATCTGACTTTCTGCCTCATTTACACACAATTGCAAGGTCTCAATTGTTTCTCTTACAATGACAACCAGTGGCGGCTCGTGACTAATTGTTTTAATAGTGTGTAAGACACACACACAGAAATACAGTAGTGTTTATTGTATTCCATGTAGCAAATGTAATGGTAATTATGTAGGACACACAGGAAAAACACTGCAGCTCAGAATCAAACATTAGTACAATATCAGAACAGCATCTGAAAGCAGTGCCCTGTTCGTTCATGTTAGGAATAATAATCATCCCATTGCTTGGGAAAAAGCTTAGAAGTATTTAAATCATCTTGTGTCACAGAAAGACTTCTGGTTGAAGCTAGTTTGATTAAGAAATTAAAATCAATAAACCTTAGTGATGGTCAGTTCAAAACTGATAATATGTTACATGAATTTATTTGTCAGTGGCCCAAGGTTAAAAATGCTCTGAAACCTTTGATCTAGATGTAGGATAGTTATTTAGTGGGTCCCTTATTTTTGACCTGACCTGACTAGTCACGTCACCCCCTTCTCTTAAGCTCCTCTACGTGTGTGTTGGTGTGGGTATTAGTGGATGAGATCATTATGACCTGACCTCTTGTTTAATCAGGTCACCTCTCTCTGTCTGTTCATGTTCTGGGTAATAAGTTCAATATACAGGAGCGAACACAAACACCTGTATAGATTTTGTAGGTTCTATTTACTGGATAAGAGATATGTACACAAGGGGAGTACCGCTCCTCAACCTGTCTGCATGTCAACTGCTCTATAGACGACGTATGGCAAGTGAGACATTAACAGCTTCCCATCCAACAACAGGGCACATTTTTAATTGCTAATGTGACATAATAATATCACAAGAAGAATAATAAATAATATATATAAATGGAGCACACACATAATATACATACATAATATATAATACAGCATACATAATATACATACACCTCCCTCCCCCCTATACGCTCATAGCAAAGTCTTGAGCGGACCTTTTCTTTTGGATCCGTTCTGAGCGTCGAGGGATTAGATCACTGGGAAGGGTATGGGACTCAACACTGGTGGCGGGGTCAGCAGAAGGCATTGTTACTGGGTGGAGAAAACGGCGGTTCCTCCACCACACACGACCACTGGGTAATCGCACCTGGTAGTCCCGTGACCTACCGAGACCCATGACTACGCCTACTTTGTCCCAACGTAGGGAGGTTGCCGGAGTCCTGAACACGGGACTTCAAAAGCGACACCAACCTGGGGAGAACGGGCGTGCGGTCGCGAAGCGGGCGACGACGTCCCGAACACGTTCGGCGGTTTTGAAGCACGGCAACTCTGTCTTGGGCCTCGCTACCCGGAGAAGGAACAGGTGAGTTAGGTGTGCTGGTGGAGTCTGGCAAGACCTCGTCGAAGCTGCCCGCAGTCAATGTTCGCGGGACCACCTTTAAGGATGAGGTGTTTAGATTTGACAGCAGAAATTTCAGCGTGGCTGTTGATCAGGTAATGGGGCGATGACAATATGCTGGACTCGATTTGTCGGCGAAACACAGCACAAGTCCTGGCTTGCAGGAACTGAGGTTTCCGTCGGTTCAGAAAGGTTTACAGGAACGCCCACGTCACGGAAGTAGTGGCGGAACGTGCTGATGGTGGCGGCAGACGTCGTGTCATTACCGCACTTGATGACAACCGGCCAACCAGAGAGACGGTCGATGATAACAAGGAAGGACTTTCCTGACACAGAGAAAAAGTCGGCTGACACAGATTCAAAGGGGCGGGTGGGGTTGTCGTCACTCATAAAGGGTTCCTGCTGCTGGCTGGGTTGTAGTACGTGGCGGGGCTTACACACCTGGACAGCATTGGAGATGTCGGGGTCGATGCCAGGCCGGAACACAGTCTGTCTTGCATGCCGTTTGGTGGCCTCGGCTCCAAAGTGACTGTCGTGGAGGCGAGCCAAGGCGTGGAGACTTGAAGCAGCAGGGACAACTACGGAAGGAGAGGTGTCACTGGCCAGAGGTAGGGGTAGGGCGGCAGCAGGGTAGTTGCTGCTCCTTTCGTGCACCCTGTTGGCGTATTTTACCTCGAGAATCGGTGTTGGGAAGTCCTGGGAGATGATGGCCAACTCTTGACAATGTCTGTAGGACAGCAAAGGAGTCGGGACACCATTATGCACGTCAATCCAGGCTTGACACGACCTGTTGCCAGAGGTGACATGTGCATAGAGTGAACCTAGGGCTGGGGCCATCTGTGAACCATCTGCCGTGACGCAGAGGTCCTTGGGAGGCGGTCCTAGATCGCTTGGAGAGAGCCCCAAGCATTGCAAATGCTGGGGACCGATGACTGTAGCATCAGCGCCGGTGTCAGGCAACATCTGAAGACGGGATGACACACTGCCATAGGTCACGATGACACTGATGTACTGGGGAACTTTGGTCCTGGGATGCGAGGAGTACACCCTCCTAATATGGGTCGGGCTTTGTCCAGGGTCGTCGTGCCTCTGATTTGGCGACTGTGGGCGGCCCTCACTGGTGGAAGGGCGCTGCTGCCTCCGCCGACGCTGTCCCTTGGGTTTGTTGGTCGGACAACACTTGTCATAGTGGCCCAGACGACCGCACACATTGCACTGTACGTACTTAGCTGGGCACCGCACTGTGAGCGACCAGTGGCCCTTACGGTCACAACTGTTGCAGGTAGACTGAGCAGCTGGACACACCTGTGTTCCGTGCTGCTTACCACAGTTAGTACAAAATGAACCGGGCGTGGACGTGGTGGGCGAAGGCGTAGGAGCAGACTTCTTGTCCTTCTTGTACCGGGACACAGCGCGTACAGCTGTAGGGGGAGCTCGGATGGCAGAGGTGGCACACCTGGCAGCCTCATAGGAGCGACATATCGTCAACACATCCTTGAGAGAAGAGGAAGAGTCGAGGGAGGTGAGGCGTTGGACAAGTTCCTCGTCCTTAACACCCATCAGGATCACCTGCTTCAACTGGGTCCCCTCGCACTGCTGGTGGTGGCCTAGACATATATCTACCTCTTCCGAGGCTCTCTTAAGACGTACATAAAAGGCGTCAAAAGTCTCACCCTCCATCTGTCTGCAGCTAAACAATTCCCTCCTGCGCAGATCTTCATTCTGCTGTCCTTTGATGTGCCGTTGTAGAATGTCCAGTACCTCTACAGACAGCGAAGAGGTCGGAGGTACCTGCAGCGTATGTTCTAAGACACGCTGAATTTCCAAGGACAGGCACATACGCAGCTGGATGAGTTGTTTAGGCTGTGACAAACTCTGGAGATCCACCATTGTAGCATAATCAGTCCACCGTCGCCGCCATTCACGAAAAGTCTGGAAAGTCACATCAGGCTTCAAGATGGGCGGTGTTTGAGCAGCTGCTTTAGGTGGGGCTGGTGGGCGTGAAGAGAGCATTGATGAGGTATCTGAACCATTCAGTACCGAGGCAGTGTTAGAGCCAGGGGCTTGGTTAACAGTGAGGCGAGATATCAAAGCTTCAAACCGTGCACTGTCTTCCACTCTCCGTTGGTGGTCTCATTCTGCCTCTGCTTGCCTTCTGTGTTCATCCGCCACACGTCTGCTAGCTTCATCCTCGCGCCTTTCATCTCTCATAAACTTCATTAAAGCAATTATCTCTGGAGACAACGCTGAATATCGAGGTGAAGGGCTGCGCGATGTTGTGGGAGCTGGAGCGTCATGTGTTAGTACATGTATGTGTGTGTGCCAGGCGGGCGAGAGCGTCCCGCCTCGAGCTGTGAGGGGGGGTGGAGACGGCGAGGAGCGTCAGTTACCCCTCAGGCAAGACAAGAGGAGGATGTGAAAACTTTACTCCTTACAAATGCCCAGAACATGCCGTGTACCTTGGGAATCCTTTAGAACAAGGTCACACATGTATGGCACGAAACACACAATGCACTAAACACTTCACAGAAAATCACTGTCACTGACACTGCTCAAAGTTGCTAAATTCTTCGAGGAGGGGTGGCGGGCGGCGGTTGGTTGACACAGGGAAGGAGTCCATAAGCCGGCTTTCCACAAACTTTGCACTGTCACTCGTAATTATCCAGTAAAACCAGTTCACTGCGCCATGTTCGTGTTCTGGGTAATAAGTTCAATATACAGGAGCGAACACAAACACCTGTATAGATTTTGTAGGTTCGATTTACTGGATAAGAGATATGTACACAAGGGGAGTAGCGCTCTTCAACCTGTCCGCTGGTCAACTGCTCTATAGACGACGTATGGCAAGTGATACATTAGCAGCTTCCATACGTCGCCAGGCACATTAATTAAGCATGTGGGACATTGATAAATACATTGCCACACGCTACTAGCTAGGCTAAATAAATAATACATAAATGGAGCACATACATAATATACATAGCATAATATAAATACAGCATACAGAATATACATACAGATTAAGGGTTGATAATCTTCAGGGAATATTAGGTGGGGTGGTTAATCTTCAGGGAATATAAGGTGGGGTGGTTAATCTTCAGGGAATATAAGGTGGGGTGGTTATTCTTCAGGGAATATAAGGTGGGGTGGTTAATCTTCGGGGAATAGAAGGTGGGGTGGTTAATCTTCAGGGAATATAAGGTGGGGTGGTTAATCTTCAGGTGACTCGCCCCTGCAATAGTACCCCAATTTTACTGAGGCTCAGATGTGACTGGATACTGTTATCTTGTCCTGGGAAAAAATTAAACTACGACACTCTAATCTATATTAATTTTTTACTTCTTCAGATTGAGCAAGGGGAGACACGGAGAACGTATATGACACGACAAGAAGTGGAATATGAAACAATAAAAAAACAAGAGAGAGAAAAACCCAGGGAATAAAACAAGTATGGAGGCATCAACGTGGACTGTGGGTCTGGCAGTGGTGTTACTGTTCATTGTGTATTGCTGGAGGAAGTGTTCGTACTGGTCATCACGTGGTGTTCCCTCAATCTCCGTTTTTCGCAACTTTTACATTTATCTCCACATGATCTTCAAACGTACTAAACCCTTTTGGTACTTCCTAAATGAGGTAAGGCTGTCTAACCTAACCTAACCCAACCTAACGTTCTTTATATACAAGTGTCTGGTGATGAATGTGCGCCTGTATTCCCACCTTATTGATTATAGGATCCACTGATTATAGGATCAATATATCCACTTGAGTTTGCATATACAGTGATTCATTGACAATGTTTCACAGTTACTCACTGTATACACTCGGTGGAATTATCAGGTTCGTTTTTGTTTTGCTTATCCCTTTTAGAACGATACCACCGTTCACGAAAATACTTTGAGATGCTTTTAAACCTTTATAATTCATATGTATAGCCCATCCAGCTTTTTATCGCTCTAGCTTTAAAGCCTGCAACTATGTGTGTGTGTGTGTGTGTGTGTACAGCTATATGTTTTAGAATGTTCCTCTGGGTGCTAGGAGTTTACAATACAGTACATGATAATGAAACATTGGTACAGTGGTGTCAGATCCAGTGGTGTGATTCTCGAGGCTCTGTTGTTTCAGTCTTTGTATCGGACTCATTTCAAATTTGTTGGAGGAAATTGTCACCTGGTCAAGTTTGAGTTCAGGCAGGAGTAATTAATTCACCTTGACTGCTAACCCCTCGTCTAAGTCGGGGAAGAGTTGACCATAATATATTTGGGATTTAATGGACCAAGATAAATTTTCTTAAAAAAGGTGACCCAGGTACCCGCCTCCACTTAGTTTTTATATTACCACGCGCACGCACGCACGCACACACACACACACACACACACACACACACACACACACACACACACACACACACACACTGATCATAAGAAGAACATAAGAACATAAGAATGGAGGAAACTGCAGTGGGCCTATTGGCCCATGCTGGACAGTCCCGTTTACACCCAACCCCTATTGCTCATATATCCATCCAACCTATGTTTGAAGCTATCCAGCGTATTAGAGTTAATGATGATGTTTGGTAACTTGTTCCACTCAGCCACTATTCTATTTCCAAACCAATGTTTACCTATCTCGCGCCTAAATCTAAATTTATCTAACTTAAGACCATTGTTACGAGTTCGCTCCTGGTTGGATAGTTTGAGTATTTTTGTAATGTCCCCTTTGTTTAGCCCTGACTTCCATTTATACACCTCTATCATATCGCCCCTCACTCTACGTCTCTCGAGGGAGTACAAATTGAGATGCTTTAACCTGTCTCCGTACCCAAGGTTCTTAATGCCCGGGATTAGTCTTGTCATTCTCCTCTGAATTCTTGCTAGGGATTCTATATCCATTCTGTCTTACGGTGACCAGAATTGAACTGCGTAATCCAGGTGAGGTCTCACAAGCGCAAGATATAGTTTTAGGATGACTTCGCTAGTCTTGTAATTAACACTCCTTTGTATGAAACCAAATACTTTATTAGCCTTGTTTCGAGCAAATACAAATTGTTTACTTGGCTTAAGATTCCTACTTATCATTACTCCTAAATCTTTCTCACAGTCGGATTTCTCTATAACAACGTTGTTCATCTGGTTTCTTTTTTTACCTCTCCTGGACTAAGTACTTTACATTTGTCCACATTGAATTTCATCTGCCATTTTTTAGACGACTCGATTTTTTGTTGATTAGATCTTCCTGTAGTTTTGCGGAGTCCTAGTCAGATTTAATTACACTCCCTATTTTAGTGGCATCTGCAAATTTACGTATGTTGCTGTCTATGCCGATATCTACGTCGTTTATATATATAATAAATAATAATGGTCCAAGTACTGAGCCTTGGGGTACTCCACTAGTGATGTTACTCCAGTCGGATTTACTGCCGTTTATGCTCACTCGCTGTTTCCTGTCCTGTAACCACGCCCTCATCCATTTTATAATATCTCCTCCAATGCCATGAGCCCCGACTCTTCTTATTAGTCTTTCGTGGGGAACTCTGTCACAGGCTTTGCTATAGTCGAGGTATACCACATCATAGTCGTGCCCGTCGTCCACTGATTCTAAAACAGCTGAAAAGCATGTTAACAGATTAGTTAGACATGATCGCCCGCTTGTGAAGCCATGTTAGGATCAGTGATCAACTTGCGCTTCTCCAGGTGATTTCGAATAGAGTTTGAAATAATTGCTTCCAGTTATAATTTGCCTACAATTGAAAATCGGTATTACATTCGCTATCCTCCAGGATTCTGGTAATTACATACGGTTTTAAGGACATGTTAAACAACTTTGCTAAGGGCATACTAAGCTCTTCTTTACATGCCTTAAATACTCTGGCAAATATATCATAGAGACCTGGTGACTTATTAGGCTTTATTTTGTCTAATTGCTTACCAACATCGTTACTATTCACTACTTTCTCGCTTAATCTATTTTCTTCTCTATCTCTGTATATAGTCGGTGCCTCGGGTATCATATTTAAATTTTCGGTGGTGAAAACTATTGAAAAATATTTATTCATATTATTGTAATTTCTCCGTCGTTATCAGTTAGCTCGCTGGTATCTGACTGTATTGGTCCAATCTTTTATCATGTTTTAGTTTGATACATTTGAGAGAATCCCTTGGGGTTTGACTTCGCCTCCCTTGCTACCTTCAGTTCATTATTCCTCTTTGCTTTTCTTATCTCGGTCTTAACCCTACTGGCCAATACCTTATAATAATCTCGGTGGTAAATTTCATCACGATTTATTCTCCTACCTATAGCCTTCCTTTGTTCAATAATATTCTTTAAATAATTATTTATCCATTAGAGTCATTGGTATATGATCCAAGTTTTCTGTGTGGTATTTTCTGCCTTTGTGCATTAAGTAACTCAATATTTAAATTGTTGTGGAACTCGTCAACCTCAGATCTTATGATCAGGTCATCCTCAGCCGTTATATTTTGTGAGGTTATCGTTGTCAGGTCTCCAAGTAGAGTGAGGTCGCCCTCTGTGGGTACATTGTGTGAGGTCATATAATTCACACCCAAACGTGATACCTCTTTTCTCAGCTGCCTTTTCAAACTATCAAAGTTTGCCCTTCTGAAATCTGGAACTTTAATGGAATTTTCCTTGCCACTGCCTTAAATTCTAATATGAATCTAATTTCTTTGTGACCGCTGTTCACAAGTTCGTTCCCTACCTCGGCAGTACTAATGAGGTTTTCTCAGTTTGACAGAACTAAATCGAGTATATTATTACCCCGGGTGGGTTCGGTTATATGTCGGCTTAGGAAACAGTCCTGGATTGTTTCAAGAAAATCCTCTGATTCTGGGTTACCAGTAAGGTCGATCCAATTTATTTGACTAAAGTTAAAGTCGCCTACTATATAGACGTTGCTGTGTCTGGATGCCCTGTGTTATTTCATCCCAAATAAGTCGCTCATTAACTCTATCAAGATTAGGAGGCGATTAGATTTCCCCTACCATCGGTTAATTCTATCAAAATTGATTCTTTATTCAGTTCAGTTTTTATTTCCTAATTTATTTCACAATTCACATTATCCCTGACATAGATTGCTACTCCGCCACCTTTCCTAATCTGCCTATCGGTATGGCATAATTTGCAACCTGCAATTTGGTACTCGACAGGTAACTTACGTGAGTCTAAGTTTATCCATGTTTCGGTGAATGCTATTACATCGATTTTTTTAGGTACATTCCAACGTCCTGATTTCATCCATTTTGTTTCTCATACTCCTACTGTTTGAGTAATAGACATTTACGTTAGTAGTGTTCTGAGTCCTCTCTTTGACGCGTTTGGGTTTTAACTACCTGCCTAAATTAGTTTCGTCATCATTCCTAGCACTATTTCTCTGTAACCTTTCACTTTGTTTATCCTCTGCCACTGCAGTCTCCTCCACCTCCGTACCCATATGCTCCCCTAGCAGTTTAAAGATTTCGACATTTTTTGAATTGCCCTCTTGAGATAGTCAGCCAGAGATGCCAACCCAGCCCTAGACAGATGTACCCCATCCTTAGCATAAAGGTCCCTTCTTCCGTAAAAGTTGTCCCAGTTGCCCACGAATGGGACTGATATTGACTTGCAATATCTGTCAAAAATGCCGATGACACTAACTGCCCTTGACAACCATTCATTGCCACCTTTCTTTCTAGACAGGACACCCCATATGATAGGGATCCCTCCCGTCTACCTAATATGTTCTATAGCTGTCTTGGACGTATCAAGGAGCTCCTCACAAAAACACCGGCTAATATCATTGCCTCCTGCACTGAGGCAGATAATAGGTTTGTTCCCATTACCAGACAAGATATTGTCCATCCTGTCAACTATATCCCCCACCCCAGCTCCTGGCAAGCAAACCCCCATCCTATTTTTCTTTTTACCACAAAAAGCTCTATCCAAATACCGTACCTGGTAATCGCCAACAATTAAGGTTTTCTTACCTTCCTTGTTCACCCTGTCCCTGACTATGCTAACGTCCACTTCGTCTATCAAAGGACTAAAAGAGTTTTTACACTTAGCTGCTGCTGTCTTATCCTTGGTGTGTTTTCTTACCACCAGTTTGGTCGTTCCTCTCCTCACAACCTTCCATTCTCCTGAGTTTTCGTCAAACACTGGCTTTCCTTCTCTTGTTTCTTTCTTCATCTTCACTAACACTTCCTTTAATTTCAAGTTTTCTTCCTTGACCCTTTCTAACTCGGTCAGAAGTTCGGCCCTCAGAAGGGCACATCCCTGTTCTGAAGTAGCACTAGCCTTTACCGGTATTACAATATGGTGAATTTGTGATTCAGATGAGCTTTATTACCCAAGGTTGTTTTTAACCCCTGCTGGTGAGCCTGGGTCCCTCTCACCGCTTCACCCCAAAGACCAGCCCTGGCCTCACCCATGACACTACACAGCCTCTCACAGTTCTCTGTACAATATCAACAATCTGTTAACTCTAATCACGCTGTCGTGTAAGAAATGTTCAAGTAAAACAACTTGTTTATTTTGTCCTTAATTTTCTTAGTTCAAATGTTGATATTCTATAACAATGCTATTGGTTAAATCAGTCAGCTGTAATACCCTTAGTAGCTACAGTAGCAAATATTTACATGATTTAAGACAACACTTACCTGCCATCATCCAAGAATTTCAACCCCCAAAACAATTTACAAGTATGAACCGAGATCCTAATGTCTTACTTAAAAGAAAAATACTATTTGTTCATGACGCCACAACTATTTTCATAATGTGCCCCCGTGTTTGATCCTATAACATCTACATGTTATTTAAATACATGTTAATGTTTCTCTTCACCCAGACGTATCACGAGAATGAAGGGAACAACTTCGTAGGCGGCTACGAGATCTTCAAGCCATCCCTGATCGTGCGTGACCCTGGGCTAGTCAAGCGCATTATGATTCAGGACTTTGACCACTTCAGCGAACGAAGGACATTTGGTAAATCCAAGAAAGACGAATGCTTGAGAGAAATGCTTTTTCTCATCAACGGCAGCCACTGGAAAGGCGTCAGGTCTATTATGTCCCCAACTTTCACCTCCGGCAGGATGCGTCAAATGTACCACCTAGTGGAGGAGAAAGCAGATGCTTTAATAGAACGTCTTCAGCGACACTGCCAAGAGAAATCTTTCGTTAAGACAAAGACAATTTACGCCCGTTATGTCATGGATGTTATAGGTACCTGTGCTTTCGGTATCGAGTGCAACTCCATCAACAATGAGGAGGAAGAATTTTGCAAGAAAGCAAATGAGCTGAACGCCATCAGCGCGCGGGGAATATTACGGGGAATAGCTCTGTTAACGCTACCTAATTCAGTGTTGAATGCAACCGGGATTTCTTTTACCACTCCACCGTTCCTGTTCTTCCAGCGCGTGGTGGAGGAGACAATTAAGAATAGAGAGATGGGAGTGAAGCGGGGAGACTTCCTGGACCTGTTGCTAGAACAGCGGGAGGAGCAGAGCAACTCGAACACCAAGACACCTAAGTACCGTGAGTGTTGTTCAGGTCTTTGTTTAGTATTTGTTTAAATTCAGATTTGGCATCGGTTGGGAGGATGATTTTCTTCTCCCAGAGGGACAAACAGAAGGCGATCAGTTAATTAAGACAGTATCGGCACTGTTTAGTACTCATCTTGGCCTCCGTCTTTGTAAGTTAATCAGTTATAATATGCATTATCACCAATTAAAATTAAAACTATATAAACGATTCTTCGAAAATCCAGAGCCTTAGTTAGAAGACGCCACCTGGAGCCTCAAGTCACCCCCTGCCTCCTGGTAATGATATAACTCATAATCTGTTTTCATTCGATGTTTATGTAAACATTACAGTTGATAGAACATCTTTGGTCAACACAAGACAGAGGCCACCAAATATGGTCATAGCGTTTATCAGCTGAGATGTACAATAACAATACCCTATTGTTTATATGCATGAATTCCTTATAAACTAAAGAACATACGTAAATTACTCAATAATGCAACACTATTGATAATAATATTAGATTCGATGCATTTAATGAGAAATGTCTTTAAGGTTAGGAATTAATGTAAGAAAAATTAAAATGGAAAGAATATATTTTGTCTGCACTTGACGGGGTTTTAAAGTGACTTATCACACTGGATTTAACTGTTGTCTAAATTACAATATTTTGTTCCCCTGTAATAGGTTTAGTTCTTTGAATTTATTAGCTGCCAGTCTGAGCTCCCATTAGTATGCATTGACAGATTAATGCCAAGTGTACAGCACAAAATGCAGCTGACAAAAAAAACAAAACAAGCATCGTAATAAGCTTTTTGATTAAGTAGCAACTTAAGTAGCATGGGACGTCATTTTCTCATTATTTTATTTATTTCTTTGTTTTATGTGATTGCAAGACTTGAAACCTATTGGGTGACACTTAAAATACGACTTTTCCTCTGTACTGTTTTACTCTCTTGGGTTAAGATCTCGTACTGTAGGTGTGGACGTTCAGTTTGACAATGATCTTTTATTAACTTGCAATAGTTTGTATGGGGGATCAAGGTACAAGTAAAGCCTTTCTTAACCTAACGCTGCTCAGGTTTCTTTCATTCTTATTATGTTCTCAGAGTAGGATAAGTTAGATTAGACTGGAATACGTTTAAGTTAGTTTAAGTTTGTCTGGGATGAGGTTAGGTTAAGTTAGGTTAGGTTAGGTTAGGCTAGGTTAGGTTATACTGGGGTTAGATTAGGTTATGTTATATTAGACTGGGGTATAATAAGATAAGCTCATGTGTGTTTAGGCCAGACTACGTGAAACTAAGATTAACTTATATTTGACTGTGCTAAAGGTTTCTTGTCATTATATAATTGTATCATATCTCACCAAGAGTAAAATTATCAACGTTTTCGGTTAGGTTAGGTTAGGTTAGGTTAGGTTCGATGCTCTTTCACATTACGGTACAGTACAACTCGACCACTTCCTGCTGAGCACTACCTCTTGGTCTCTCCTTTCCAGCTATAAAAGACTCGACGATCGTCGCTCAGTCCGTCCTATTCCTTATCGTGGGTCATGAAACTACAGCCGGCACCATGGCCTTCGTCTCCTACTACCTGGCCCGCAACCCACACCTCCAGCACCGACTTCGTCAGGAACTGAGGGACATAGTGGAAGAACACGGCACGCTTACCTACCAGACCATCATGGAGGCGCCATTCTTAGACGCCATTTTCTCAGGTGATGAACAGTTACTTAACTCTTTAGATATTTTTTTATTCTTTCTTTTTTATTTACTAATACTTTTAGAGGTTTGAAATAAAGTAGATGCTCGTGGTTACTCTTCAGCTGCGTTACCAAGAGAAAGCCGAGCACCGTTTGGCTCGCAACACTAAATTTGCTGTGGAATAACGACATTGGATCAATGCTTCCATGGAAGAGTTGTAAAATCATGGGAAATTACTGGCGAACCGAGGCACGGTGCTCTGTGGCCAGTGCCCCTCACGGTGGTTGACTCCCCTGCTGACGGTGGTTGACTCCCCTGCTGATGGTGGTTGACTCCTCTGTTGGCGGTGGTTGACTCCCCTGCTGGCGGTGGTTGACTCCCCTGCTGACGGTGGTTGACTCCCCTGTTGACTGTGGCTGACTCCTGCTGATAGTGGTTGACTTCCCCTATTGACTGTGGCTAACTCCTGTTGACTGTGGTTGACTCCTGCTGACTGTGGTTGACTCCCCTGCTGGCGGTGGTTGACTCCTGCTGACGGTGGTTGACTCCCCTGTTGACTGTGGTTGACTCCTGTTGACTGTGTTGTTGACTCCTGCTGACTGTGGTTGACTCCCCTGCTGGCGGTGGTTGACTCCCCTGCTGACGGTGGTTGACTCCCCTGTTGACTGTGGCTGACTCCTGCTGATAGTGGTTGACTTCCCCTATTGACTGTGGCTAACTCCTGTTGACTGTGGTTGACTCCTGTTGACTGTGGTTGACTCCCCTGCTGGCGGTGGTTGACTCCCCTGCTGGCGGTGGTTGACTCCCCTGCTGACGGTGGTTGACTCCCCTGTTGACTGTGGCTGACTCCTGCTGATAGTGGTTGACTTCCCCTGTTGACTGTGGCTAACTCCTGTTGACTGTGGTTGACTCCTGCTGGCGGTGGTTGACTCCCCTGCTGACGGTGGTTGACTCCCCTGTTGACTGTGGCTGACTCCTGCTGATAGTGGTTGACTTCCCCTATTGACTGTGGCTAACTCCTGTAGACTGTGGCTAACTCCTGTTGACTGTGGTTGACTCCCCTGCTGGCGGTGGTTGACTCCCCTGCTGGCGGTGGTTGACTCCCCTGCTGGCGGTGGTTGACTCCCCTGCTGACGGTGGTTGACTCCTGCTGATAGTGGTTGACTTCCCCTGTTGACTGTGGCTAACTCCTGTTGACTGTGGTTGACTCCTGCTGGCGGTGGTTGACTCCCCTGCTGGCGGTGGTTGACTCCCCTGCTGACGGTGGTTGACCTTTGCTGACGGATTAATTCACCTTAAGTTTAACCCTCCCAGCTATTTCACCGTAAAATTAACCACCCAAATGTTAACCTAACTTAACCTATCATAACCCTCCACCCAAGGTAACATCAGAGTGTTTAATCATCAGGTGAACTAATCTAGGGGCTAATTTTCAGGTGAATGTATGAGAAACTCTTCAGAATGAGATGTGTCTATTTACGCTGTGATGTACAATTTGTTGATATTTTACATTAATATTTAATTCAAAGTTAAATGGAAACCTAACCTAACCTAACCTGACAAAGATATCTTCAGGTGTGTTAATTGCTCTGCCAGGTAATATGTTTTATGGGTTTGTGAATCTTGAGAATTGTATATGTACAGTACAAGACCAAGAAAGGGTATTATTACTGTAGTAGAAGAAGTAGTAATTCTATTATTATTATTATTATTATTATTATTATTATTATTATTATTATTATTATTATTATTATTCCCGAACAGAGACTCAGAGAATCAACCCGATATCAGTAGTAATTGAACGACAATGTTCTCAAGACTACAGGTTAGTCATACATACACACGCATACTCCCATACACACACACCCATACTGTTATACACATACTCATACAGTCATACACACACTCATATTGTCATACACACACAACCATATAGTCATACACTCACACCCATAATGTCATATACACACCCATACTGTCATACACACACACCCATAGTCATACACCCACCCATAGTCATACACACACCCATAGTCATACACCCACCCATAGTCATACACCCACCCATAGTCATACACCCACCCATAGTCATACACACACCCATAGTCATACACCCACCCATAGTCATACACCCACCCATAGTCATACACACACCCATAGTCATACACCCACCCATAGTCATACACACCATAGTCATACACTCACCCATTGTCATACACCCACCCATAGTCATACACCCACCCATAGTCATACACTCACCCATAGTCATACACCCACCCATAGTCATGCACCCACCCATTGTCATACACCCACCCATAGTCATGCACCCACCCATTGTCATACACCCAC